TTATTCAACAAAAACCGCTACGTTTTATCACGTGAGATATCTGTCTAAAATTGTTACTACAGCTTCACCTAAGAGTAAAAGTGGGCCAATTCTAGTTTTTGTCATTCAGATTAAAAACGGCTGATTTAGAGCTGCAAAAGTATAGTGTGAAAGGACGTGAATACACATAAGTATTGGTTAGGCCAAACAAACTAGATTAGCAGTTTCTAGTTCAAGTTTTCAAAATAATCATACAGGTTTTATTATTATTATTATTGGTTATTCATTGCCAACCTTTCAGCACAAATTTACTAAATTTTATGAAATTATCCTAATTAAAGAGCGTCTAGCGTCATGTGATATTAGCTTAAGCAATTAGCGTAAATAATGATGCCTGATACGCTGTATCAAGTGCATATGGGTGATGACAAGAAACTATTATCCTAGATTCCATGGCGTTACTATTAACACTGTTTTACAGAGGAAAAACTGTAAAGTACAGGTCTGTTCCGAATAATAGGGTTGCGATCCTAAAGCTAATGTGGGTTACTATAAAGTTTTACTTTCTTACTTGCTGTGGTTTGTTGGTGTGTACTGACAAAAAGTAATGATATCTAATCAAAAACACCTTAGGTGTGAAAAAAGGTGCGGTCATCATGCCCCTAGTTGAACAAAAAACGCGGCCTAGCTAACTAATGAATCAACATTTGCTGTAAAATCCTTATCAATGCTATTAGTGTAGCTACCAGTTTGGCTGCCAATTTTGATTTCACTCCTTTAAGTCGCGTTTTTGATGAGATTATTAATAACTAGTAGTAATTTTAAAAATCCTAATATTAGCATAAACGATATTATTACCCATTGAAGTTAGCTTTCTTACAGAAATTTGGTGTTCCTTTATAAAGCTTAAATACAGGATGAAACATTAATTACAAGCCAATAATATATGAACAATACATAGTACAGTTGGAACCTCATTGTATTTAGAACTTGGTTATAAACGCAGTCTTCTTATGTCTATTAAAACACTGCATTAGAAAAAAAAACAAAAATGGGCAAATAAGTAAGGAAAAAAAAACTTTTCAAAAAGGAAGTAAATGTAGGGATGGCTAATATCAATCCTTCAAAAACAATGCAAACAAAATGGTAGGGATGACATTTGCAAAGAGCGCATGTCTCATTATATCCTAAGCTATATGCACGTCCTATGTGGTTGATAAAATTTGATCTATTCTATGAAATTCCTTGCTACACCTGTTTGTATAGGCGACCACATGTGCTACATATTTAAACCTTTGCACACGTCTGCAAGATTGACTGTACCCACGACTAGAGAAGTAAATTACCCTCAGCCTATACAGTACCCTTCCGCTATCATTTATACATAGTATGATGAAAGTGACTGGAAAATGGTATATATATCAGACAGCTACATTGTGTCTAGACTACTATCTTATGACTTTTATATTAAATAAATGAAATACTGAGTGAGTGATACTGCGAGATACAGCTTGATGGTTTATACATGGCAATTAATATATTCAATAACGGTTGGTGGTTATTCGTACTTTTTTAAATTGTTCAATACATAGTAAGTACTTTGACATATGGGTTGATGTTTCTACATTTTAAAAATATTTAAAGTGTAGTAAGTACCGTGAAATGTGGGTTGATATTTGTACATTTTAAAAATATTCAATAAATAGTAAGTGAAATATGGGTTGATGTTTGTACATTTTCAAAACATTCAATAAATAGTAAGTACCGTGAAATGTGGGTTGATATTTGTACATTTTCAAAATATTCAAAGTGTAATAAGTACCGTGAAATATGGGTTGATATTTGAAAATTTTCAAATTATTCAATAAATAGTAAGTACCGAGAAATATGGGTTGATTTTTGTACATTTTCAAAATATTAAAAGTGTAATATGTACCGTGAAATATGGGTTGATATTTGAACATTTTCAAAATATTCAATAAATAGTAAGTACCGTGAAATATGGGTTGATATTTGTACATTTTAAAAATATTCAATATATAGTAACTAACGTGACAATTGGGTTGAATATTTACATAAAAAAATATTCAAAGTGTAGTAAGTACCATGAAATATGGGCTGATGTTCGCACAGATATAAAACACTGATCGTAAAGTTTCGTACGAAAACAATGGCATAAGAAAAATTGTTTAAATATATCATAACTCACAGAATAACCTTATATGCTCAGCAAGTGCTGTAGTACAGAAGGGATTTATGATACCTTCCAAATATCAAACACTTTATTAACAGCATCATTTAATATGGTCTAATCATGAGAGTCAGTTATATTTTTCTCTCCTTTTTAACTATACTATAAACATATAATAACCATAACTGTAGAATGATGCCACCATTAGTAGCTCTATGGTGATGGTACTGACCTGTATTTCTTCCTTACCCTTAGATTTAAATAATACATTGTAACGTAAGGGATACTACAGCTTCTCTGGTTGTAGTCGAGGACGATTGTAGGCAGCGAACCGTACGTTCTCTCAGTCCAACAAACTACAAGCTTTGAAGTTTGACGACCATACACACCTGTTAGCAGCTGTCGTGCTGAAGATAAATCCTGACAAACGTCTATCTGTCTCTATTTTACAGTGTAAGCTTATTTGGTGCGTCTTCTGGCTTCTGCCCAAAACCAACCACTTTCTGTGAATAGGTGTGTGTGTGTAGCCCAACTTCAGATATAAGCATGGTTTAGAATTACAGTTACAAAGTCTAACGGCTGCAAACTGCCGGCTAGTGAGCGAGACAATCTTAATAAACTTGAGCTCCAGCCACAAGGACTGTATGCATCACGTGTTGAATTACCTACCCTTTATTACCACGTGATATATCTAACGACTACCGCACCTTTTCCAAAGGAGCCACACAGATACAAGTATCATGTTTTATGTTATCTTCTTTCCCACTCATGTGACGTGGGTACGATGTGTTTTGTGTTATCTTCGTCTTTCTTAAACGTAACGAATGTACCATGTCTTGTGTAATTCTTCTATATAAAAGTATGACGTGTGTGTGTTCTTATTCATCTCTTTTAGCACGTGACGTATAAGTAATGCCCAGTGTATAAAATGGTTCTGAAAAAGTGCCGGTATGCACATACTTGGGAAAGAGGGAGGTGTTTTTGAAGTGACTCGAGTTGAAATGTATTTGTGCTATGATTGCACAGACACAAAAGTCAAACGTATTTTCATGTTAAACTAAAGAGGTAGGGGTAGGCAGTGTGTTTTGCAACAGTGTAACGTTTCTTTCTTTCTTCTTCTTCTTTGCCGGTATTTTGTGCCACCATTTCTTTTTAATCGGTATGGATGGATACCGATCCACGTTAATTGCTGGCAATGTCTCGTGTTGTGCTGCTATTGTCTTTTAACAAGTGACGCGTGCATCTAATGTTCTATTATCCCATCAGTTACCATAAGATGGATGAAATCACGTGCTCATTGTATTTGACTTGACCATATGCTGTATGCTATGTTGTGTGACTCATAGCTTTTTCTATATGGCTGATGCATCATATCGTGTTATATCTTCATCCTATACCATGTAACGTATGGAACACGTTTTATATTATCCTTGCATTTTATCTCATGATATGTGTTGATGTGTTATTCAGTAGTACACGTAAGCCTAATGAAGGCCCTGAGGCAGGAATACTTTGTTACGTGTGTTAAGTAATGTTTCGTACGTAGAATAATACGTTACAGCACGTTGCTTCGTGTAATCTTATAGTGGGGATGCGGAAGAGGGAGTATGGGAGGCCTGTAGTTGTTAACTCAAGGGGGACCTCAAAGATTGCCGCGCCAATACTGTTGCAACTATTTATAGCGCGAGTCCCTGGAATTCAAAATTTCGCATACTCTAGAAGTGCATCTTTCATGTTTTGGAACTGAGTTGGTTTAGGTGAGCCCCGACGGTTCTGGGCCTTAAGACAACTGCCCCATCTGTATATATTATTGTCAGTAATTATCGCGTTCACGTTTAATATGGAAATTTACCCCTCTCTGCCCTAGAGAGAAATACTATCTTATCATGATTTGAAAATATGAGCTTTTAGGCCAGCTTCTTTCTTAAAGTCAGATTTTACAAACCAATACTCCTTAAATAAATATGATTTTTACAGACTAAATTAGTTAAATTATAATATGACACGTGATTTTGACTTCTCGTGATAAAATAAGGACGAAGAATGTAAAAATATTTGAATAATTAGCATTGATACGAACATCTAATTTTTGAAGAATTAAAAGGAATTGATACCACGGGGTCATTCGAATTAGAAATAGAATCAGAGGCGACTCTAAGCACTGGTACAAGGGCCCCGTGCCCGATTCTATTTGGCAGTACACCGAATTCCCAGTTGGTGTCTTGAAAAAACAGAATAGAAAATCATGATCGATATCATACTGAAACGCCGAAAATCTCCGCGCCTTTGGGCCTGAGCCCCGAATCTTTTAAGCACCTAGCGACGCCCATGAGTAGAATAGGGACACAAATATTATGTTTATTACCAAAGTCAGGAATTATAAACAGTATTCAATTAACAGCTGTGCCACTATAATTCTTTTAATATTTATATCTTTATAATCCCGTGATTCAGATCCAAATGTAATATAGCCCCAAATTCCATTATCAATGAAGATTCTGCAGAAAAGGGGGGGGGGGAAAGAAATATCCAATGACGTTTATTGGTTTCGTCAAAGAAATGATAGGTTGATGATAGAAATTAAATGCTGGTTCGATTCTTCTCGGTGGACGCAGCAGATAGCCCGAAATGGCTTTGCTATAAGAAAACACATAAAATGCAACACTGATGGCAATGTTTTTTTGTTTTTGTTTTGTTTTGGAGACCCTATGACCAACAAAGTCATGGAACCACAAGAAATTTGGTGCATATTAGGTTAAAAACAAAATGTTGTAAAAAAAACCGTTAGAGTATATGGGTCCTATCGTTAATCTCAGAGTTAAAAACCTACCTGTACATCAGCGTCCTTTCTTTCTGGTACTGGTCCTCCGGGTTGATTGATTGTCAGTCCTGGCAGAAAAATAAAACAGAATTGTATGTTCTCAGAATGGATAAAACATTTTTTGAATGTTAGTAAGTAATAAATACGCGTTCAATTCACGATGTTTTGCTAATGTAACCAAATAATTTTCAAATATATGTCTTCTTTGCCTACGACATGTTTAATTTGAAAATATTCTAACGTACAGACTTCAGAGAAATGGAACGTGTTTTCGCGCTTAGTGAAAGGCTTATTCTTTTTTTTTTAATTTTGCTTTTCCAGTTAAGTTTATTTTTTTGTTACTATACAAATAAAACGATTTTGTTTGTTCTAGAGCAAGCCTATCTGTTGTGTCCACTGTGGGGAATCGAACCCAGGATTTTAGCGTTGTAAGACCGTAGACTCACCGTTACCCCACAGTGGGACAGATATATAAACCTCTAACGTTTAATAAATGTGATAGTAAGTTTAAGAAGTGATTCTATCAATATTGTCTCCTGGTGGCTCAGCGGTAAGTCTGATGGCTTATAACACTACAAATCGGGTTTCGATACCTGCGGTGGCCACAGCACAGTCCAGATAGTCCATTGTGTAGCTTTGCGCTTAACAACCAACAAACAAAGAAATCTAACAACTCTACCAATCTTAAACTGTTTCTCACATTTACGTTTGTAATTCGTGTTATTTGTAAGTTAGCAACTACAGAAATATTTATAATACGACAAAGTAACATATGAACAAACAGTGTAACCACGTGGTCCGGTATCATGAGTAATAACAGTTGAACATTTTGATAACTGGCCAGTCAACAAAAGTTGTTGTCACTTAATGTTCTGTAAATGATAAATCTGAACTATTGAAAACTAAAAACATTGTGAGACATTCTATTATTCATAACACACTGTCTTTATGTGGGTCGGGAGTGGCTAAATAGTTAGTGTATCTGGACTGTGAATCCGAGGGTTGACGCTTCGTAGCCCGTTATCTCAAAAAACGCTCATCTCACTTTGGGACCGTGAATACTATTATATTTTACAAGAGCAGCCCAAGAGTTGTTGGTGGGTGTTGTTGACCAGCTTGCCTTTCCTTACTCTGTCAGCAGGAAATCATACGACTATAGGTGCTAGTAGCCCTTGTGTAACTTTTCACGAAATTCTGAAACAATCAAACTTGTTTTTATCGCGAAAAACAAACAGAACCAGCTATTAGGTTTACTTATATATATATATATATATATATACGACGTTATCTAACTCTGGTATTTAATTCATGAATAGAACCATCAATTATTAGGAATCTTTTCACTATTATCCAGGAACAATGCTAGTTCAAGTAGTTCCCAAACTGTGGTTCGCAAAGCTATTTCAAGGGGGCCTCAGCAAATGTCGAAATATTCTCATTTCTTCCCCTGAACGGCTCGAAAATACGGATCACTTTTACCGGTGTTTGATAATATTCAGCATTTTCATCAGGAGAGGAAATAAGGTCTAAAACAAAAAATATGCAAAGATTCATCCTAAGCAGAATGGGGAACAAATTATGTTTCCTTCTTACCCGAAACGGAAATGCTACATTTTACTTCTGACTAAGGAATGGTTCGGTAAAATATGTAACAGGTGGCAGCCCTGTACTGACACCAGACTAAGCAATTTTTTTTTTATATATATAGAACAAATTGCGATGAAATTAAGGTACCCCAGAGCGTATATTATCTAACATTTGTATTAAATCATTAAGTTGCGTTCTCAGCCAGAGTGTCTAAGATTTGTGTGTGTGTTTTGGGGAAGGGGAGGCTTTAAGCTAAAATATTAAGAGTCCTTCCTCTAGCTTAAAAGCTATTCAACAATCAAGGTTCTAGACTTTTAACACCAAGAATAAAACGTACTGACCAACAATCACTTTCTACAACAATCATGGATCTAGACTTTTAACGTCAAGAATAAAAAGTACTGTCCAACAATCATGGATCTAGACTTTTAACATCAAGAATAAAACGTGCTGTCCAACAATCACTTTCCACAACAATCATGGATCTAGACTTTTAACGACAAGAATAAAACGTACTGTCCAACAATCACTTTCCACAACAATCATGGATCTAGACTTTTAACGTCAAGAATATAACGTACTGTTCAACAATCACTTTCCACAACAATCATGGATCTAGACTTTTATCGTCAAGAATAAAACGTGCTGTCCAACAATCACTTTCCACAACAATCATGGATCTAGACTTTTAATGTCAATAAAAACAAGCAGACTGTTCAACAATCACTTTCCACAACAATCATTGATCTAGACTTTTAATGTCAATAAAAACAAGCAGACTGTTCAACAATCACTTTCCACGACAATCATGGATCTAGACTTTTAATGTCAATAAAAACAAGCAGACTGTTCAACAATCGTAGAGCTAGACTTTTAATGTCAAGAATAAAGCGTACGATTTGAGACATCCGAATGATTTAATTGTCATTATAATACTTTTGTATAGTTATTTCTAATGTAATAAGACTCATAAGCCAGACTTTTCTAAACCTTGCTTCCGTTACAAGAACTTGTGCCCCTTTGAACTGAAAAGGTTTGAAGTAAGGTGTAAATATTGTGGCTACTTGAGCTAGTAAATAAGCAAGGCGCCGAATAAAACGACACAGAACAGCAAGACGTGCAAACTTGGTTCTACAAGCCCATGAAAGCACTACATCACGTCCATGTGATACTCCTTGTTACGTCTTTTAAAAGATAGCTGCATTTAGCTACCGAGAGTAGGCTCCGAAAAAAAAACACAAGTGAAGGCTACATCCTCCTACTCCCCCACCCACTCGCTGTTTTTCGATGCACGAGTTGCAGTATTCAGAGTAAAAGTGCAATAGTGGGATAATTATTTTCGAATGTAAGTGTCGCGGGAAACGTTGGAAGTTAGTATTTTCAATTGTGATCTACATCCAATTCTAAAAATGGGCGTCCCAAGAAACATCTATGGTGAGTATGATGCAGCATTTGTAAAATAAGGGTAACTATCATGCATTGTCTACTTTACTTCTTTCAGCATTGATGCTATAACACTCGGAGAAAGGCTTACTATCCTATAGAAATGATAGCTTATTTGTCTGTAAACCTAATCTGAATGCCAACTTACACGCGGAACCTTTAAACTAAACCGAATGTCAGCTTAAACGTAAAACCATTCAGATAAACTGAATGGCAACTTACACGTGGAACCTTTCAGATAAACTGGATGTCACCTTGAATGTGGAACCTTTCAGCTAAACTAGATGTCAGCTTACATGTGGGGGCCCTTCGGATAAACTGGATGTCAGCTTACATGTGGGGCCCTTCGGATAAACTGGATGTCAGCTTGTATGTGGAACTTTTCAAATAAACTATATGTCACCTTACACGTGGAACCTTTCAGATAAACTGGATATCAGTATACATGTGGACCTTTTAAGCTAAACTGGATGTCAGCTTACACGTGGAACTTTTCAGACACATTAGATGTCACCTTACACGTGGAACCTTTCAGATAAACTGGATGTCAGCTTACATGTGGAGACTTTCAGCTAAACTGGATGTCAGCTTACATGTGGATCCTTTCAGCTAAACTGGATGACAGTTTACGTGTGGAGACTTTCAGCTAAACTGGATGTCAGCTTACATGTGGATCATTTCAGCTAAACTGGATGACAGTTTACGTGTGGAACCTTTCGGATAAACTGGATTTCAGTTTACGCGTGGAACCTGTTGGATAAACTGGATTTCAGCTTACATGAAAAGCCTTTCAGCTAAACTGGATGACAGTTTACGTGTGGAACCTTTCGGATAAACTGGATTTCAGCTTACGTGTGGAGCCTTTCAGACTAAACTGGATTTCAGCTTACATGAAAAGCCTTTCAGCTAAACTGGATATCAGTTTACTTGTGGAACCTTTTGGATAAACTGGATATCAGTTTACGTGTGGAACCTTTTGGATAAACTGGATTTCAGCTTACGCGTGGAACCTGTCGGATAAACTGGACTTCAGCTTACATGAAAAGCCTTTCAGCTAAACTGGATGTCAGCTTACACGTGGAACCTTTATATACGAGTGTCACCAAGTTCATTACGGTTATGACTATCGCTTTTCAAGCACATGCTCACTTGGACCACCTGAGGCTGAACATATCATAAAATACTCTGTATATATATTCATTTGTATTTATGGATTTGTAAGCGCTGTACAGTAATAAAACATTTCTTGTCGTGGACGTCATTCTGACAAATATGCTTAAATGTGTTGCTTGCATAATATGAAATCAATGACTGATGAAGGTTGTTGCATAATGGCAGTGCAGATTCTTTACAGTAACTCGATATCAACCGGAGTGTGAAAGGTGTAAGTACAAAAACTGTAGTGGTAAGAAGAATCAAATTATGGTCACCTGTTCGGTAACTCAGGTACTACCCTGAAACCCAAGTCCAACGGTTGTAAAGTTAGTTCGTCCACTGTCAATAATAAATAGAAATAAAGGCAGACTGGCAGTTTTCCCACTGCTATTGTGCGGAGGAAAAAGTAAAAGAAAAACAAATATCAAATACTCACAAATAGGGACTTTCATTCACGTATAACATACATTAGGTTTAATGGAAAGAAATGACACATTTGAAAAATTACTGCAAATATGTTTTTGGGGGAAAATAATAACGGCATTAAGAGCAGGAGTGAAGTAAGTTTAAGTACACATAGAGAAAAAGAAGAAAATATCCGAATAGAAAGAAACGAAATCAATAAATAATGCACTAATAACTTCCAGGGTAATAAACTTCTTTTAACAATCGACGAAAAATAGGTAGTGATATCACGGCTTTGGAGACTTTATTCAATGTATATTGCTCTGTGTTGCGTTTTCACATGGGTATAGTGAAAGCGATTCTTCTAATGATACGTTAACACATCATGGCCAGGTGGTCAAGGCACTCGACTCGCAATCTGAGGTTCGCGGGTTCGAATCCCTGTCACACCGAACATGCTCGCCCTTTCAGCCGTGAG